TTCAGTTTCTATAGCTTTAAGTTTTAATTTTAAGTTGTTATGGCGTGAGTTTAAATATTGAAAAATTGAATTGGCCTCAGTTTCTGAATTAAATAGGCGAAAAAATCAGACAGAATAGCACATTAGGTCCATGATATTGATCAAGCCAGTTCTTTTCATGGTGCCCCATGAATAGGTTTGCAAGTATTGGGGCTAGAGGGGACCCCATTGATACCCTATCCACTTGATCATAATATGAACCATTAAACAAAAAAAGAGTTTGAGAGGTTGCAAACATGAACAATTTTTAAGACCAGATTTAGTTATGTTTAAAGTATTATGTGGATGTTCCAAAATGTAGTCTACCGCAAGGTCTATTGATCCATTAAGTGGAATGTTCGTAAATAAACTTTCAACATTAAAGGAAACCATAAACTTATCACAAACATAATAACTATAATAATAATAATAATTATTATTATTATTATTATTATTATTATTATTATTATTAGTAGTAGTAGTAGTAGTAGTAGTAGTAGTAGTAGTAGTAGTATAAAATTTATAATAATAACGATAATGGTGACAGTAAATATAGCTGTATTATATTTTCGCAGTATACTTAATATAGATAATTTGATACTAGACATAAGTTTTATTTTTTTGTATGTTTATCATTAAGCTGTTGATATGGTTCTTGTGTTTATTTTGATACTAATTGTGTGCTATGTCTATACTTTATAGTATATCATTTCGTGAAACTCATTATAATTACTTATTTGCTTGTTTACTATTTTACTACAAATAAAATGTGCGGCAATTCTACTTTTTTTTATCAAGTGTGTTTTTTGTTGATTTTGAATAAGACATACTATGTGAATGAATGAATAACATACAAACAAATCATTTAAATTGAGACAATTTGAGTAAAATAAATATATTATGATGATACTATGGTTCTCGTGAGATTTGTTGTTGCTGCTTTTGTATTTGTTGTTGTTGCTGTTAATAATATTATTTATATCCATTGATCGGTCGCAATTTAAGAACAATATTTGCGATGCAAACGAGCAGACATTTAAAAAGAAGGCAAGACACAATATAGAATACAAAAAAAGTTATTATAAAAATGTAATGCAGAAGTAAATTAGTATGCATTGTGAAATTATACATCCTAACAATGCGAACGTAATAAGCTACAAGCTACATAGCTTTTAAACTCTAGAATAAAATTAAACCTGGGTAGAAAATCAGAATTTCCAAAGGTGGGATAGTCACAAATATTAATCTATAATAAACGTTGCAACAAGGTAGTGTCAAGAATTAAAGTGACCATGTGCTAGCCAAGATGCTGCACATCATGCGCAAAACCGGTAGACCGGGGTTATATTCAAAATGAGCCGTCCGGGGATATAAAGATATTCTTTTTAGCAGAAGGGCTGAATTTTTTTTTTTTTTATTATGTAATATTACCCTCGCCTTTCCGATCATAATGGTATTACTAGTGCGCGCGCCTGTGTGTTGTTGGGCTGTCTGTCTGCATGTCCGAGTGTTCTTCCAGGGCGATTGCTTGTATAAGATGAAATAAAATAAATTGAAAGTTCCTTTAATCAGCTTTGCATACATACTCTTAGTCATTATCAGGATTACCATTTTGATTCATGTTGTTTTAAAATAGCGTATTTACAAACCTAGACAACGGGCGCCAGTATAACCAGTATGACAAGTGACGTTTGTGTTGCAACCCTCTGAAAGATGACATTCAGTAGCGTTACAGTGACAATCAAGAAGGCATCCGGGTCCATACTTGCCTGTTGTTCCAGTGTCACATTCTAATTTACATGAATGAAAATATGCGCTAAGTAAATCTGTATACCTAATTACATACTATGGTTTTTTTTTGTTTTTTTTAAATAAAAATGGATATATATATTATATTGGTCTTCTATAAACATTAAATCAAATGTTTCTGCATTCTATTGGAATACCGAAATGAACATAATATTTATTTATAAACATTTTGACAAAATTAAAATGTGCATAAACAAGATAAGATACGATAAGATAAACTTTATTGTCCATCAAATATGTGAAAATTCATGGTCCATTTGGGGTAAAAAATACAAAACCATCAGTTAAATTACATCACGATTTAAATTGCTCTAAATTGCTTTAAATACAAATCTCAAATGAATGCTGCTGAATTTTACTTTTTTTACAATCAAGGTCACCATAACCGGACATACACGAACAACCGACAGGGTCTGGAGGACAAAACAGAGCTCCTGGACAACCTGGATTTGTATTGCTGCATACGATATTGCAATCGCGTCCCCAATTATTATGGCCACACGCTATAAAAGGAATAAACAGCATTAAAATTTAAGTTAATTTAATTCTATTATTTTTATGAAAAATATACAAACCTAACCTATATAAGCCATTAAAATGTAATTTTAATTAATATTATACGATCTGTCACTGGAACTGTTTTGTGAATAAACGGCCGGATAGTTCCTACTAATATAATGCTCTTGTCTGGTTTACTTTATTAGTCATAAACAATTCAACAAGCCGAAGTCGAATATAATATCCTTTAAATATGAATGCATTTTATATACCGGGTAGGAAACAAAATTTAATATTCAAATTCGATTAGAGAAGAACACTCAAAATATCTGTTGATGATAGTAAGAATACATCTTTGTTTATTTTTGAAGAGATTTAATGATTAGTGTTGGGTTAGATTATGCATCTTATATTGATGTTAATATTGTTTTCATTTTCGACTATTTTGTACCAAAAAAAAAGTATAAGAATGAATACTAAATATTGATCAATAAAAATAAAAATATTGACATGCAACGCATATGAAAAAGAGAACTTTAAAAGTAATAATAGATTAACAAATAATAAATAGACACCTCAATAAACAACATTAGGCCTACCGATTTCACAGTTATCTCCTTTGAAGCCCGGGGGACAGATGCATAATCCATATGAAACAGAACACACACCCCCATTATAGCATACAGGGCAATTGTTCTCACAAATCGGAGGCAGCCACTTTCCATGAGGGCACTCTATCAAAATAGGTAGGCAATGAGATGGTAAGCAGACCGTATGTTCCCAACAAAATATATGTAGATTTTGATACGATAAAAAATCATACAGAGTTGAAGTATTATAGAAACATAATTTTATTAGGCACGAATATTTTTTCCTGTCCTCAGGACTTTTTCAACTTGAAAAAAAAAAATATATATATATA